GAAAGAAGAGCGGCGTTCACACACACACACACACACACACACACACACACACACACACACACACACACACACACACACAGAGAAGATGGCTCTAGAAAGCCCCCACAGACACCGAAAACAGCCCCAAGACGGTCACATGAGCGCCCGAAGAGCGCTCCAAGAGGGGTCCAGGAGGCGGTTATTCGGTGCTCCCGAGGGGGGGCGTTGTTTAAAACAGTTTGTTTAATCGATATCCTCCAAGGTGGCCCAAAGAGCGCCCCTGAAACTCCAAAGAGCGGCCCAGGAGGGCCCCAAGAGGCGCCGAGACGGCCCCAAGAGGCGTTCAGGAAGCCTCCGAGAAGCTCGCAACAGACCCCCAAGAAGCCTCAGGAGGGCGCCCGAGGCACCCAAGACGCTGAAAGACGGTCCTGGGCTCGCTAGGATGCCCCTCCTCCTCCTCCTCCTCCTCCTCCTCCTCCTCCTCCTCCTCCTCCTCCTCTCCCTCCTCCTCCTCCTCCTCCTCCTCCCCCTCCTCCCCCCTCCTCCTCCTCCTCCTCCTTCTCCATCTTCTCTTTGTCCACTGTCTTTTCCTCCTTCATCCTCTTCGCCCTCTTCCTTATTTTCCTCCTCCCTTTCTCCTCCACCATCCTCCCCCTCTTGGGGTACCGGACGGCTTCCCGCGCTCTTGGTCCCACCAGCCCTTTACGACGTAGGTGGTTTAGGGTGTTTCCTCTTCTCTCCCCTTTTTCCCCTTCGGGGAAGAGTTTACCCCTCCCCGAACTCCCCTCCACTGGACCTGGAGGGGGGTTCCGCGGGTCGCCGGAGCGTCCAAAACGGCCCCGGCGAGGAAGCCACAAACATTGGTTTTAGTAAGGGTTTTACTAAGGGTGTTAGCCCACTTCGGCCTTTTGGATTTTGGCCCAAATTAAGACCGCCCCTTCTTTGATCGATCTCCTCCGAGATGGCCCAAGAGAGAGATCCGTGAGGCTCCCAAGGGTGCCCCATGAGGGCCCCAAGAGGTGGCCAGGAGGCCCCGAAAGGTCCCCAAGAGGCCCCCAGGATGCCCCCAACAGGCTCCCAAGAGACCCCCAAGAGTCCCCAAGAGGCCCCCCAGAGGCACCCAAGACGCTCCAAGAGGCTTCGGCGAGAATACCAAAAACATTGATATTACAAAGGTTTTGGCCACATGTTGGCATCCTGTGGGGTGGGGGGAGGGGCACTGCTTAAGATGACTCCAAGGGCGCCTGGGAGAGCCCAAAATGACCTCGAAGACGTCTCAAGATATCCCAAGATGCCTGAAGACGGCTCACACGATGCTCCAAGTGGCCCCAAGACCGCTCCAAGACGGCTCCAAGTGGCACAATAGCTCCCCCAGGAGACCCCAAAGAGGCCCAAATCCTTCCAATCATTGGGAACATCAGTGTGTTTGCCTTTCTCGCCTTTTCGCTTCCGATGGCCATCCGAAGCTTCAAGATGGCTCCGAGGTGGCCCAAGAAGGTTCCAAGAGCGCTCCCAAGGCTCCCAAGAACGGTTCAACAGGGCCCCAAGAGGAGGCCCTTGGAGGCCCCAACAGGCGCCCAAGAGGCCTCGAAGAGGCTCCCAAAAGAGCCCCAAGAGGTCCCAAGAAACACTCCGAGGCACCCAAAACGCTCTACGAGGCGCCCGGGACCGCCAAGAGGCCCCCAGAGGCTCCAAGAGGCCTCCAATGGGGGACCCTTCCTCTGTGTGCTGCCCACTTCCCTGATCGAGGCAACTCCTCTGGGTATCGTTTCTGGATGGGCTGGTGGGTTACGCGAAGCCTTTGGAATTATTCTGCATGCTCCCCCATTTCCTTGATCACCTCAACTCCCCTGGGCGTCGTTTCTGGATGGGTTGGTGGGGATATTTGTTGGCTCGCGAGCGCAAGCGGAAGTGCCGCGCGCCGTCCAAAGAAATTGCAAACTAGCAGTGGCCTAAATGACCCACTAAGCGCGCAGGAGCGAACTACGCTGCGACTCAGAAGCCCGGGTGAGCCAAATTGTCAACAATTAATCCTACTCTGCCTGTGGAGGTCTCTCCTGGGCACGAGGACCGCCAGGTAAAGATTCAGGATGAAAAACTTGCCTCGGGGAAGGAACCGAAAGCTACAGGCGCCGGCGGCTCGACAAAATCGGGTGGTCGGTCTGGGTTCTCACAGATCCGAACACGGCTTGGCACTCGCCGCTTTTTACACCACGCCACTCGCTGCTTGTTCTGCTCCACGCGCCTCTGCCACGACGGCTGCCCTGATCTCTTCGGCCCTGGAAAGACCACTCTAGGACCCTCCGATTCACCGACGATGACAAGAAGTTACACGGCGCGCTCCCGAAAACAATTGCCACCTCCCGTCGAGCAGTCTGGCCTGAACTGGATCGCCCGCGAAAGCAAATCGGATCGCCAACGGGCCGTCCCGAATCGAGTCGAAATTGGGTCGCTGCGCCCGGCCCCGGCTGACCCAAGCCGACGTCGGTGAATCGAACCGAATCGAATCGGAATCGCGGACCTAGTCAGATTCGAATCGCACCAAATCGGATCGTAGGCGGCCGTGATAACGCCCTCCGCTGGGGCTGCAGAGCGAGGCCGACCACCAGGACCCAACCCAGAACCAGAGGGCCCGTACCACCTGCAAGCACGCGGAGGCCGAGCACGCCTGGCTCGGGGCATCAGGGAGCAGGAGAAAAAGGAGTCGTGGAAAGTGGGGGGGGGCAGGGGGAAAACGGGAGGACAAAACTATCGATAGAGTCGTGCACGCACTCATCACGGCATGCAGGCCATATCATCAGAAGAGAGAGTGAGAGCCCGTATGTAGCTGTTCTTCAAGATGTTGCTGGACTGGGCAACCCAACACAAAACAACAACGGCACCCGCCAAGCGCAACACGATCGGAAAACGGCAACCAACTTCAAACAAACACGCTGCAACCCGAACCAAACAAAACAAGATGCGGACATCGCAACAACATCCGCAATCAAACAACATAATGTGGAAAACGGATCGCAAACAACAAATAGCCGCAAACGGCGAAACGGCAGTCCCCAAATGGAAAGAAACTGTACCCCAACAACTGATAAACGCAAATTTTGGCAGCGGAGAAGAAAAATGCCCCCGCGTATGTTAAGAACACATAGGTGCGAACCTAATCCGGATGGCAGGGGAAAGGGAGAAAGAGACAGGCCCAGGGAGGGGGGAAGGCTGACTTGACGGGAAAAAAGGAAGGGAAGAGGGGAGGGGGAGGACCTGTGCGAACCCACTACGCACCAAACAAAAATGTTGCAATCGACCCTCGCCAGGAGTTCCCACTTCGTAAGTCTGGACCCAGAACCTATTAGCATCTTGGGAACAGTTTGCCACGCAACCCTTCGTGGTCAAAGGGCTCTTCGTCCCGCGCCCGAACACTCTTCGCAGTCCGTTCGCAGTTGGACCCGCCCTTGGGCGGTTCCTCCGCCAAATATGCCTACGTGAGTCCGCGCGGATGAGCGGCCGCCCCGGCATCGCCGCCACGGATGTGCTGCATTTGGAAGAGCTTCTGTCTGGGTCGCACCCGGCTCTGGCTCCTGCAGGACGACATCGCTGGCGAAAAAGCTGAAATATTGGTATGCACCGATACGTCCACCGCAGTGCCCTCGTCCAAGATCACATTTGCCGCCACGGCGACAGACGCTGCGTCGTTGCCCCAGACAACCGGGCCGAACCCCTCTTCCAGGCAAAAGGCTCCCACGCGAAGACGGGATGCATCCAGGCACCAGCTCTGAACTCGGTTCGCCGCGCGCAATAAATTGTCGTCGCCCGCATCGAAACATGTCACCGCGCAGCGACCGTCCTCCACGCGGAAAAGGCGCATGACAACGAGCAAAATAATGTCCACGATCTTCGCGCGGACGTCGTCGGCTGACATAGCAGGGCGCTGCGCGAATGCGACGATGCTATTGCGATTGAAAAAGATCTCCGCCAACGCACTGCACTGTCCGTGTCGAAGCGCGGCGCAACGATTGCGTTCGGCATCTGCGCAGCCGTCTCGAAGGTAGGCGCTGGCACGGTCGCGAGTCGCGCGCGGTCGGCGAGAATTGCCTTGACCATTCGCGAAGCGCCCACGGTTTTGCTGACCCCCCCCCGGGCGAGACAAGCCGCCAAGGCAACGGAGGTGTCGACGGCAACTTTCGTGGCACTTCGTGGGATGGCATCCCTTGTGGGCACGGACTTGCGGAGGGACTCCGAGTCCAGGGACGCGAGGGCTACCATAATGGCTTGTCAGTCCATGCTTTTCTTGTCTTCCGCCGACTTGCTTGCCTTCGTGAGCAAAAAATTGATGGTATTCTCGAGGAGATGCGCGGGCGCAAGGAATTGGAACGGCCTGGTCTGGTCCTTGCTTAGCTAGGAATCCGGGCCACCGAAATAGGCGAAGTCGTCTCGGATCGCGCCGGCTCACTCGTTGCACGACCGACCGCTAACCGACCCGACCCGCATGCTACCTCGAGAATGCACAAAGACTTGAATGTCCCGTCGGCCCGAACCGCCGCAGGTTCGCCCATTACGATACCGCACGCCGCCCGACCCGACCGTTTGGGTCCGCCCGCCCGACCCGACCCTCACGTTCCCGCCCGCCCGACACGCCGCCGGCTCGCCCAGCGATGCAATGCCGGAGACCAGGCGACCGAGCGATCTGGCGATTCCACCCTCCGGCGATCTGGCGACCCGCCGGCGATCCGGCGATATCCGGCGACCCCGCGATCCAGCGATATCCGGCGATCCCGCGCCCCAGCGATCTGGCGTTCCGGCGGTGGCGATCCGCCGATCTGCCAATCTGGCGATCTATCGATCTGGTCCGGCGATCTGGCGATCTCGTCTGGCGTTCCGGCGATCCCACGATCAAGCGATCCCGCCCCCCCTCCCGGCTTCCCTTGTGAGCTTCGACCTGCCCTTGAAGGCGATATCAAGGAAAACATCGCCCAAACTGGAGAATCATATCGTCGGAGATCCGGGCTCGCGGCCCGACCCCGCCCCTCCTCGGTCGCAGCCCGACCTGCAGCACCGTCCGGTTGCCGAACAGCTCCGCTGTGCACAGCAGCGCCTGGCCGCCCCCGCCGCCATCAGCTCCTCACCCGTCGCGGCGTTCCTTCGCCAGGCTGCGCCAACGACACCGCCTCAAGTTTCCGACGATATGATCTGTTCAATCCACATTTTTTTCCTCCACCTCGGCCTCCAGAGATTGTTTTTTCGGGCCCCAAGGGCACCAGACACGGGTCCTGAACAAAACGCATTGCACAACACATCGTCGGACGTCTGGGTCCCCCGCCGCGCTCCCGCGCCGGGCCGCTGCCAACGCCACCACGTCGGAAGCACTGGGCACTGCGCAGCGCGCCCATGACCCCCTCGGGTCCCGAGAAAAAAGCTACGTGAGGCTTTTGGCAATTTTCGGGGGGTGCCTCACCAGGCCCCCGGGCAAGTAAAAAACCACAGACAAACAGACACAAAGCCGTGCACCCGAGAGGACGCATGGGCAAAAGGCAAAACGAGCTGTGTCCATCAGAACGCTCGCGCGAGAGCGGCACATGTACCGACACGCGTGCTTGCCATGGTCGATGAGAGGGGAGGGAGAGGGAGGGGAGTCTCGGGAGGGCAGGGGAGTGGGCAGGGCAAGCATACAATATAACATGCGTTGCACGTGCTGCGTAACCATATACAGTTCGAACGCCCATTGTTGGCGCGGCCACCTTCTCTTGCAGCAAGCGGTCACATGTTGGGCGACCCGTCTGCGCTGAAGAGCAGCACACGCTTCACAAACGAATGTCATTCATAAACCGAGATGTTCTTTTATACGTTCGCATGTCTACCAAACCATGTTTGCGACAACGGTTTCGCCGCCGCCTTCTCCAGAACCGTGCCGTTGCGCATTCCATAGATGTATGAAGATTGAATGCCCAACAGTCGCCGCACGCACCTGCAATGAAAAGCGTCCCTGGGAAACCAGGGTCCAGAAAAAAAAAACAGTCTCTGGGATAGGGTCCAAACCTCCAGGGTCCCCGTCACGGAACAACAACGACGAATGGGGTCGTGGGAACATCGGACGATGCGCAGCGCACCGCTGCCATCCATTGATGATTGGTTAGGCATCGTGGAGATGTCATAAATGATATGTCTACGTTGGCCACTTGGTGGGCGCAGTCCCCATACGCCAGGCCCCCCCTGGAATCAGCGCAGCGTCAATGGATTCATCCTGGCCCCGCAGCGCTGAACGCCACCACTGCGAGACAAGGCCTGGGGGATCTTCGGGGGCCTCGGCAGGCGGTGGGTATGCCCGCGCCCCCCGAAGAAAGCCCGAACATGTCCATATCCACCGCCCGGCGAGGTCCGCAAAGATCGATCCATCAGACGGTGGCAATTGGCAAAACCCCGCTTCGAACCAGCCACGACGACGACGCTGTATTGCATTTTTCTTGTTAGCGTTTCTCTGGAGGTGTTCGTCACTACGGCTGGACGCGTGGCGGAGAACAGGACAGGATGGGTCCCAAGAGGAGTCTGCACAGTCGCTTCGGACGGATTTTGCTCGGGAATAGGGCGAGGGGGAAAAGCCGTCTGAAGAGAGCAGCAGCTGCTTCAGAAGGGCTCCGAAGCCTCCAACAAGGCCGCTGAGAAGGCAGGAGGTCGTCCAAGGAACTCCCAACACCTTGTTACAAGGCCGCCATTTTCGCCCCGCCACCTTGCGCGCACCGCCGCTGGACGTTTCGCCGCCGACTGAGAATTCCCCAACCGTGTCGGCGCTGGTCCGCGCGTCCGCGCCATCGGCGAGTTACTTCCACATTCCCGGAAATGAGGCCGCGCAGTCTGGGTGCCGCAACTGCGGGCCATGGCTCCCATGTCTAGCAGGACGGGTTGGATTCACCGCGGGCCGCTCTGAAGTCGTAGCCATGAATCCGCATTCTGACTCATGCTCGTAGCTGTTACATGTACGCACGCGCCAAACTTGCACGTAGAACGGGGATCTTCGAATATGTATCTGAATACCTATGTGTATGAATTCACGAACCAGTGCTGGGCGGTAGGTTTGGCGGCGATGTTGCCGCCGTCGCCGATCCTTCGCCGCCTCGTCGTCGCCAATCGTTTGGACCTGACCGTCGGTTTGGCGGCTGTCTTGGCGTCGTCGCTGCTCCGTAGGCGCCTCGTCGCCGTCCGTCGTTTGGGCCTGACCGCCGCTTTCGTGGTTATGTTGCTGCCGCTACCACTTGAGACCTCCCCAAAGACTCATGGAGGTCCCAAAAAGGCCCCATGAGAGCCATCGGAAAAAGATGCCAAGAGGAGTGCCAGAAGGCCGCCGCAAAAATGGTAAATTCCGATACTGAGCCTTTCCGGGGCATTCCGAAAGGGGGACGGGAGAGAGGAGGAGAGGGTGGATGACGTGCAGGGGCAGGAGGAGGACAACGACAACGAAGCTGGTGATTCTCACCAGGTGCCCTCTCATACCCAACACCTCTGCTTCGAGCTCGTCGCCTCCCGTAGGAGGAGGTATAGAAGGAGGAAGAGGGGTGAGGGGTCAGAAGGGCGAAGGGGGAAAGAAGGGCAATGACGAACAAAACCTCTCACGGCATTGTTTTCCCGTGACATGGGCCCCGAACGTTCGACAGGAACGCTGCACCAGCAGTGAGGCCTCCTGGGGGCAAGCCTTTGGGGCCCTCTCGGGGATTTCGTGGGGTCGTTTTGACGTCGTCGGGGGGGGTGGGGTCGTGGGCCGTTTTGGGGGTAGCGCGGTTTGTCTGGGTGGCTTCTTGGGCCATCATGGGCCCCTCTGGGTGGTCTGGAGCCCCTCTCGGGCACTCTTGGGGCGCCTTGGGGCTCCTCTGGGGCCGTCGCGGGCTCCCATGCGGCCGTCTCGGGACCCTCTCAGGGCGCCAAAAACCGTCCAATATCCAGAAGGAAGCCTTCTGGAGGCCAGAGGGCCAGAAGATAGGAAACGAGCAAAAAGACAGACAGGCAGAAAATCAAACACACAAACAAGCAACCAAACAAATGACAACTACACTAAACCTTCTGGAGGCCAACGCTCGGGAATCTCAAACGTACGGCATCCCCTGAGAAAAACCTCGGTCATGGCTACCACCCCCGTCCCCCTCCGTTAGAGCAGCGAGGGCAGGGAAGAGGGCGCGCGAAAGGAGGTCAATACTGATCTCAAGATCGCGTGCCAGAAAGACGCAGGTGGTGGGAATCGTCAGCGTGCTGTACGCGCGCTCGTGTGTCGCGATCATTGAAAACGACACATGCGTCTGCTTCATAGCCGTAGGGCGCTCGCAGATGAAGAGGGACGATCGGAGGGGTTTGCCCAAGGGGGGGCATCGACCTGGGCTCGGCGATACATCCCTGATAGATCGGGGATGGTCGGTCCTGGGCAGGGTGGGCTAACGGTCTCTTATCGGCGATGATTGGGCGAGTAAGGGCCGATGGAACCCCCCTTGCGCCTATCCCCCATGCAGTCATAGTACGGCATGTTCAGGGGCACAGCCTAAGGAACGAGGAGGCTTTTCTGGCCATGGCTGGCCTCGGCCACGGATTGGCTCTACGACCTGGATCAGAGGAACTACCCGAAAACCAAAGCCACTTGACTGTATGTTTGTGCGACGAGGGGATGCGCAAAACAAACACACAAACAGGCCCTGCCCCGAGCCTCCAGCATGGCCTGCTGCCGGCGCAGACGCGGCGACCCCGCCCGCGGCAGGAAGCCGAACAGCCCCGCTCCTGACGACGGCGGCGACGACGAACGCCGACGCCAGCGACAAGCAACGACCGACGACCGCCGTGCACGACCGTTTACAAATGGCAACGACGACGACGACGCCGATGTCAACCGATGGCGATGGCGACGTGAACGGTCGCCGACGGCGACGACGGCGACGTCCGCCGACGACGACGGCGACGCCGACGACGACCAGCGACGGCAACGGCGACAGCGACGGCAGAGGAGGCAACGGCGCCGGCTACAACTACGCTGACGACGACGACGGCAGCCCCGCCCCCCGCGCGCCAGGTGAATCGCCGACAGGAGCAAAGTCATCATGGAAGGGGTGAGGGAGTGGAAGGACCGAGGAGAGAGAGGCAGGGGAGGCGGAGAGGGAGAGGGACGGAGAAGGAGAGGAGGAGAGAAGGAGAGAGAGGGGGGAGAAGGCGAGCTAGGTGGGCTCGCGTCAGATGTGATGCCCATCCCTCCCTCCCATCTCTTCTCATTGCGTTAGTCTCATCATCCAAGTCGGCTAGGATGGTCAAACAAGTTCTTTATTTTATCTTCCGAAACCCTCTTCCCTTCGGGGAGGGATGCCCTCCTCCTCCCCTCCCTGAGGTCTTTCTGGCGGGGTGTCGCAAGGTGGCAGGATGTCAGTTTTCGCACAAGATGGGTCCCAAAAGGCCTCCGATGCTCCAAGATGGCAACAAAAAGGGCTCAAGATAGTCGAAGATGGTTCAAGATAGCTTCCGACATTCCTCCAAAAGGCCCGACGAAGGCCATCAGACGGCTCCAAGTGCTCTGGGAGCCTCTCCTCCCTCAGGACCCCCCCTAAGAGGTTAACATCCATCCAAAAACGTAGGACTAGCAATGATGTGTGCCTTCTGGTCTTTCCATGCCTGATGCGCTTTTCGGGCCTCATGATGGCCCAAGAGAGCCCCGACAGGGGTCCAAGAGGCCCCCCCCCGACGGCCCTCATAATGCCCAATAGCGGCCCAATAGCGGCCTAAGAGCCGATTTCAATGGCTATGTGTGTGGGGGGGACGGACATCGAGGACCCCTCCCCCCTTGATCGATGGCCTCCTAGATGACCTCAAGAGGCGATCCAAAGCTCCCAAAAAGCTCCTCCTCCTCACTCTCCTCCCCTCGCCCCCTCCGCGGGTCCCAGGGGTAACCCGCAAAAGGACCTCTAGGGCCACGCCCTTGCTCCCGGAGATAAGCATCCTGGTGGCCCGTTTTGTTTCACTATACGTGTGTCCCTTCGTCAATTTCCCCGTCGGCTCTCATGGGCCACGTTCTGAACGGCTGGTAGGGATATAAGAAGCGTGAAGACCTCGTTATCTATATCCAAGGACGCGTGTCATAGCCGACCTGGAACTCCGAAAGAAACACTTTCGTGCTATGCGCACTCGGGAAAAGGGGAGCTGAGAATATAGGTGGGTGAGGAGACGTTGGCGGGTGAGCAGGAAAAAGAGCACGAATTGCTTCAACGCTGACCATGCTGTTCAGTGCGAGAGTCTCGAAGGCCCAACCTGGCCAGCAAGACGAGGCCCGCGAGAGGGCCGAGCGCCGACTCCAGAAGGCGCACGACGCGAAGGACGACCTTCAGACCCATGTGAATCAGGCAATCCAGGATGGCGGGCTGGCCCCGCGCGACCTCGAGCACAAGAACAAGACGATCGTGGAGCTGAAGGCCCCGATTCAGGCCGAGACGGAGGCCGCCAAGAAGCCTCTCGAGGCTGATGCTGCTGCTGTGCCTGCGGGCGGGGCGCCTGGCGCCCAGGCGGCTGCTGCAGGGGCGGCAGGCGGTGCTGCGCCCACGTCGGCCCTCGGGGCCCTGGTGGCGCACCAGGCCCAGGTCGCCGCCAGGATGGCGCAGTCGCAGGTCCTCCAAGGCCCCATCCACCAGCTGCACATGCAAGCCGGTGATGGGATCGAGGTCCCTGCGCCGCAGCCCCGCGTGGCGTTCGCGGACCAGCTTGCACTGCACGGGCGGCGGCGCCAGCCCAAGCGCTGGTCACAGGAGGCAGCCCAGCGTCGGCTGCGCCTACGGCGGTCTCCGCCTCAGCCCGCGCCGAAGTGGCACGCGGCAGCCCCCAGAGGTCTCTGCTGCATGAGGCGCCGATGCCGAGGCCCACGGGCGCGCCGTTGGGGACAGCGCGGGCCGCTCACCCAGGCGCGAGCCCAGCCGTGCGGCGCGCCAACCCCGTCGAGAGCCAACCCAGCCTCCGCGCGGACGAAAGTCGGCCTCACGGATTGCGCCCCAAGCAGTCGATTCGGGAAACATCTAGCGGCCGCTGCCCGTCGTGAGGGCCCGGCAGATCTACGAGTCTCGGAAGTGACTCCCTCTGACCAGGGGCCGCTCGCCGACATGCGTGGTGTTAGTTTCTTTCCTGTATTTGCAGCTATCGAGGAGATCAGGCACTCGTGGCTTTTCGAGCTCATCATTCGTGCCAGTGTGCTTCTTGATGAGTATTTCCACCCAGCTACCTCCGAAGTGCTGCAGCAACATGTACCATGCCTCCCGTTCCTTCCTCCCGCTCGCGTTGTGGTCGAGATATGTTGTTCGTGCTTGCATCCGCAGCCGCGAACATTTATCAGTGCTTCGATGGCTCTCGTGCTGTAAGCGGTATTGTCTCTGTCTTGGTCCCTGAGGATGCGAAGAGTCTCGTTCCCTCCTGGCGCTTTGACGCGGCTGATATGATTATTGCTACCTGGGCCTCTGCGTGGATAGCTCAGGCGGGTCTTAGTGCCATCCCTGTTGTGCTTCGCAGAAACTGTATGAGGACTCTGAGGCTTCTGATGCGGTATCAGAACTCTGAGGTTGCAAATTTACGGTCCGCATCCCCACTGCTACTTGTGCTACTGAGGGGGGAGTGTCCGCAGTCACCATGGTGAAGGATATAATGAGATGGTTGACGCTATTGCTCGTCTGACTGGCATGGGACTGATGCCCAACATGGAATCCATGCCCTTTGATTCCTCGGCGCCGGCGCGGGCGCGGTTGCGCGCGGAGCGTTCTGAGGGTTAACCGTGCATCGCAAAGGCAACGCCGCAAAGGCCATGGGGGCGTCGCCAGACTGGCATCGGGCCCGGGGCCCGGGGCGTCGCAGATGTTGCCCGCTCCGGGGCCATCCATAACCCTAAATTCGGCGCGGCTGATTTTCGTGTTCTCCAGAGTGCGAGCAAGTATGAGCAAGGCTCCAGGGGGCCTCGTAAATCTGCCAGACTTCTGCAAGTTATTCCCTACCTAGGCTCTGCCTAGAAATGTTCTTACCCTCTTTGCTGAAAGGAGCCGGGCAGTGGTCCTCGCCCCGGGCGGTTCCCCCAGGATCCGCCCCGCGGTTCCCCCTGTATCCCCCGCTTTGCCTAGCCTAGCTTAGCTTAGCTTAGCACAGCTTAGCTTAGCTTCGCTTAGCTAGGCTTAACTTAGCTGAGCTCAGCTTGGCTTAGCTTGGCTTAGCTCAGCTAAGCTTCGCTTAGCATAGCTTAGCTTCGCTTCGTTTAGCCTAGCTTAGCTTATCACAGCTTAACTTAGCTTACCTTGGCTTGACTTAACTTGGCTTGGCTTAGCTTAGTTTAGCCTGGCTTAGCTTAGCTTCGCTTCGCTTAGCATAACTTAGCTTACCTTTGCTTAGCGCAGCGACTAATAACGCAGCGCAGCACTAGCACAGCATATTATAGCACAGCCAATCATATCATATCACAGCGCAGCATATCATGGCATAGTGCATCATATCGCAACAATGCTTAGCATAGCACAGCGCAGCAACGCATCGCATAACCTAGCACAGCACAGCACATCATAGCAAAACGAAACATAGCATAGCATAGCATAACATATCATAGCACAGCCTAGCAAAGCATAGCGCAGTATAGTATAGCATAGCACAGCGAAGCATAGCTTAGCTTACCTTAGCGCAGCGCAGCATAGCGCAGCGCAGCATTAGCACAGCACAGCACAGCATAGCACCGCACAGCCAAGCCAAGCCAAGCATGGCATTCAAATCAAAATCAGATCAATGCGAAAGTATATATGTAGATGTAGATGTAAATGTAGATGTAGGTGTAGATGTGGATGTTGGTGTAGATGTAGATGTCGGTGTGGATGTAGGTGTGGATGTAGACGTAGGTGTGAGACTCGCTGTTGATGTTGATGTAGATGTAGATGCAGGTGTAGATGTTAATGTAGGAGAGAGCGTGATCCACCGCCGCTTTACTCTGGAAAATTGCCAACCTTTTCCTCCGGAGCCCGGGGGTCCCCCCCCCCCCTTCGAAAATCCCCCCCCCCCCCCCCCCCTCCCCCCCCCCCCTCCCTCCCGGCAAAACCCCCCCCCTCCTAGCCCCTCCCCCCCCCCCCCCCCTCCCCCTCGAAAACCGGGGGGGTCACTACCGGTTCGAACCCCTCCCCCCCCCCCTCCGGATCCGGAAAACCGGGGGGGGTCACTACCGGTTGGGCCCCCCCCCCCCCCCCCCTCGAAAACCGGAGGGGGGTCACTGCCGGTTCGACCCCCCCCCCCCGCGCACCGCCAGCAAACGACTCCCGGTCCCTACCACCGCTCGCATCACATCCCCCACTGTTGTTCCCAGCACCACTGTCCTCACCACCACTGCCCCCGCTGGTTCCACCACCGTCCCTATTGTCCCCACCAGTGCCCCCACCACTGTCGCACTGTCCCCACTGTTCCCACAACTGTTCCCACCACGGTTCCACTCTCCCCACTGTCTCCACGGACCCAACCACTGCCTATCCCCACTGTCCCCACTGTCCCACTGACTCCTCCGCTGTCCCACTGAGCTGTCCCACTGTTCCCACCACTGTCCCCACTGTCCCCACCACTGTCCCCACTGTACCTCTGTCCCATTGTCCCACCGCCGTCCTCGCCGACGCCTTTACCAGTGTCCCCACCACCATTGTACCCTCCACTGTCCCAGTGTTTCCACCTCATTCCCACTGTCCCCACACCACTGTCCCCACCACCACCGTTCCCACCACTGTCCACTGTCCCCCCTGTTCCCACCATTGTCCCCACCACTGTCCCCACCACTACCGTCCCCACCACTGTCCCACTGTCCCCCCGCTGTCCCCACCACTGTCCCGCTGTCCCCTCACCACTGTCCCCACCAACACCGTCCCCACCACTGTCCGCACCCCCACTCGGTTTTCGAGGGGGGGGGGGGGGGTTCGAACCGGTAGTGACCCCCCCCCTTTTCATGATGAGCTGGGGGGGGGGGGGGGGGGGGGAGGGGTTCGAACCGGTAGTACCCCCCCCGGTTTTCCGGGGGGGGGGGGGGGGAGGGGTTCGAACCGGTAGTGGCCCCCCCCCGGTTTTCCGCCAGCAGCGGTAGAACACGCTCTTTCTAATGTAGCTGTCGGTGTAGATGTAGATGTTGCTTTCCTAGATGCTCCAACTCCTAAGTAGGGTCGCGCTGGGATAATCGGTCTTAATGCCCCAGGGCGCATTGCCCTTCTCGTCGAGCAATTTTCAACCGCTCGGCATCAAATCCTGGCGGTCGTGGGAACTAGGCCCCAGTCGGCTTTGCCGCGGGAGGTCGTGGACTACATGATGTTCTACTCTAGATGCGCCAATAATGGATTAGATGGCGTGGCCATCTGAATCAACGTGGAGGGACCTGTCGAAGGCGCAAAGCCAGGCAACCAACATGCTTCTCGGCGTTATGCCGACGCGAGCCGGCTGGTGCTTCGCTTCGCACATGTGCCCCATCTGCTGCGAAGTGCTGCCCATGCTCTTAGTTCTGCTCGTGAGGGCCTCGCGCCAGGTGGGAAAATGGTGGCTCAGCTGCTAGATGCCAGAACACTGTTCGTATATATTTGGTTCCAGGAGTACACCCGGTGCTCATGTTTGATGCTGGCGCGGAGGCGGGGCCAAATTTTCCGCAGCGGATCGGGGGCGTCGAAGCTGTGGGCAAACGTGTATTTGGAGAGTGCTTGCGAGGTTTCTGTCATCGCCGTCAAGTTGCTGCGACGTCTACCTTCATCCCTGCCCCGCTAAGTGATGCGCGCATCGCGCGTCCGTAAGTGGATGGGAAGACCCGCGAGAGGCCGGACAACGCACTAGTCAATCAGGCTTGGCTCGTCTCTGTCTCACGTGCCCAGGTCGATCGCGTCGCGGATCGTTCGAACGCGGTCGAAGACCACGGCCCTGCCTTTGTCTCCTTGTGGTAGGCCCACGGCGGCAAGTCCGCTCGCAGACGCGGACGTTCACCGTTGTGGGCGGGCACAAATCGGCCACGGTTGCGCGTAGGTCGCGCGCGCGGCAGTGCGACGCGACCGCGGCCTCGCTGCGCAGGCGCGGGCCATCGCGCCGTCGCGCGCCAGGGTTGCGCGTCGCGGGGGGGGGGGGTCGCTGCCCCGCGGCGCGTGCGCTTCGCAGGTGATTTGCTAGCGCCGGGGTTGCGTCGCCGCGGGGGGGGGTCGCTGCCCCCGCGGCGCGTGCGCTTCGCAGGCGATTTGCATTTGGAGGAGGCGCCGCGCGCGCGCCCCGCGCGCGCGCGCGGCGGGTGCCTCCCTGGCGCGCGTTCTTTCTCTTCTTGTGTGTGTTGCGTGTGTGTGTGTGTGTGTGTTGTGTGTGTGTGTGTGTGTGTGTGTGTGTGTGTTGTGTGTGTGTGTGTGTGTGTGTGTGTGTGTGTGTGTGTGTGTGTGTGTGTGTGTGTGTGTGCGTGTGTGTGTGTGTGTGTGTGTGTGTGTGTGTGTGTGTGTGCGTGTTGTGTGTGTGTGCGCGCGCGCCGCGCGCGCGCTCGCGCCGCCGCCGCTCCATCGGCGGGCCGCCCTCCCTCTCGCGCAGGTTCCTCTCCCCCTCTGCCCCGCAGATTGGCCGCAGGCAGGAATTGGGCCGCGCCCCGCGCTCGGGATTTGAGCGTGGGGCGCGCCGCGCGCGCGCGCGCCGCCGCCGTCGTTCGCGGGCTCCTCCTCTCCTCCTCTCCTCGCGGGTCGCCTCGTCTCTCTCTCGCTCTCTCCTGCTTGCCTGCCCTCCGTGCTCGTCCCTCGTGGCCTGTTCGCTCCCCCGCTGCTCGCTTGTGCTCGTTGCCCCTCGTGCCCTGCTCGTGCGCCGTGGCTGCCCCTGCTCTTCGCTCGCCTGCGCGCCCGTGTGTTTGCTCGTCGCCGCGTCCTTTTTCGCGTCCGCCTTTGTCGTCGCTTTGTCGCCCTCGCGTTCGGCTGTCGCTGTTGCCTCGCGTGGGGTCGTCCTGGCTTGTGCTTGTCGGCGTGCTTGCTCGCTCGCTCGGCGTCGCGTTGCCTCGCTTTTCCCGTCGCCGTCGCCCCTGCGCGCCCCCTTTGCTCTCCCTTCCGCCGCCTGCCGCTTGGCGCCTGCCTTGCTGCTTCTGCCCTCGTGCCTGGCGGTTGCCTGCTTGCCTGCCTGCTCCCTCGTCGTTTGGCCGGTGGCTCGTCTCTCTTGGGCGCAGGCCCTCGCTGGCGCGGGCCCTGTGGGCACCTCGCTCGCGTCGCCTTGGCCTTTCGGCCAGGCTGTGTGCCAGGCTCGCGGCAAGGGCGCCCCTGGTCTCGGGTCAGGCGCAGGCCCCAGGGCCAAGTTTCGCGCGGGGGAGGGCGCAGGCCTTAGGATCCCTGTGTTTTTGGTCGGGCGCTGGCCCCAGGACCCGATCGTGCGTAAGGGGGAGGGCGCATCCCGTTGATCCCTGTCTTGGGTGGGGCGCAGGCCCCAGGACCCGATGGTGCGAAGGGGGGAGGGCGCATCCCGTAGATCCCTGTCTTGGGTAGGGCGCAGGCCCCAGGACCCAGTGGTGCGAAAGGGGGGGGGCGCATCCCGTTGATCCCTGTGCGTCGGGTAGGGCGCAGGCCCCAGGACCCAACTGTGCGAAAGGGGGAGGGCGCATCCCGTTGATCCCTGTCTTGGGTAGGGCGCAAGCCCCTGGCCCCGTCTTGCTGGGCACCGCTCTCCTCGTGGGTCGGCCCGCGGGCCTTGTCTCGGGCAGGGCGCTGGCTTCTGGCTCCTCGTCTTGTGAGGGGGGGGGCGCTGGCCCCTGGTACCGCGCCATGGGTAGGGCGCAGGCCCCAGGACCCAATCGTGCGAAAGGGAGAGGGCGCATCCCGTAGATCCCTGTCTTGGGTAGGGCGCAGGCCCCAGGACCCATTTGTGCAAAGGGGGAGGGCGCATCCCGTTGATCCCTGTGTCGGGTAGGGCGCAGGCCCCAAGACCCCGTCTGGCTGGGCTCTGGCTTCTTCTTGGGAATGCTCCCGGGCCTTCTCTTGGGTTGGGCGCCGGCCCCTGGCCTTCCCCCTCTCGTGAGGGGCGCAGGCCTGGTCGCCACCTCTTGGGGTCCCGCGCAGTCTCCGCCCTGTGCGCGCTCGCGCCGGCAGCTCGCCGAGTTCGGGCGCCCAAGCTGTCTCGCGCCGCGCGGCACCGCTCTTCGCGATGGGCGACCTCGGCAGTTTTCTTGGCGCCTTGGACGGCGCGTCGGCGCACGAGGCCGGTTGGCTCGAAGCCACGGCGGCCGCGCTCAAGGGCCAAGGTGTGGCGACGATCGCCGATTTAGAGGGCGCGGCATTCGAGGATTTCTCTTTTGCCGACAAGGAGCTCGACGCCGCGCAGAAGCGCCTCGTGCGCGCGGGGATCGCCGCGGCGAGCACGCCGGCGCCGGTGGCTGGGGGCTCGGCGGCGGCCGCCCCTCCAGCGCCCTCGGCGGCGGAGAACGCGGCCGCCCTCTTGGCCGCGCTCAAGACGGGCACCAGCGAGGCGCAAGCGATCTCGACGCGATCTCGGGCTCGCGTGGCCCCGCGCGGCGCGTTCGCAGGAAAAGCCGGCCCGCGTACTCTTGGGCCCTCTCCTCGGCAAGGCGTCGCTGGCCAACCTCCCGCAAGAGTTCTGGCCCAGGCGCGCTCGCGCGCGCGCGCGCTGGTTCTCGCATCTGGCCCCGTGCGCCGGTAGCTCCGACATGCTTGACGCGTTGAACGCGGAAGTCTTGAAGCGGCAGAAGAAGGAATCCAGCGAGGAAGCGCGCGTCTTCCTGTGCTCGGACATCCGCAAGTGGGTGCCCGAGTGGGCCCGCTCGGGCCCTCGCGATTTCGAAGAGGAGGCTGACGGATCGTCCGGCGCCAGCAAGGACATTCGTGACCTCGCCAAGGCTCGTGCCGCGCGCGCGTTGCCTGGCCCGCGCGCGGGCGCTCGCCCCGCAGGAAGTGGCGGCGGTGAAGAAAGGGCCCGAGAAGAAGGCCTACTTAACCCTCTGCCAGTGGCAACTGGCTTGGAACCGGCGCCACCTGCCCGTCGCGCGCCCCCCCCGCGCGCCTGCCTGTTATCGCGCCGCGCGCGGCAGGTGCATGGTCGCGCTGGTCGCCACGGGCCAGCTCGCGTGGGCTGGGGTGCAGGCGCATCGCGACAACTGCTTGAAGGTGGCGGTTCAGGCTGCACGCGCGCGATTTCTCGTCGCTCTCTGTTCGCCGCGCGTTGCCGCGCAGGCGGCGGCCTCGAAGCGCCGCGTGCACCTCGGCATCGCGTGCGACGAGGAGGCGCGGAAGGCGCGCCCCTGCGTTCGTGCTTGCGCAGCGCCCTGCGTCTGTGCCGGCGCGTGGCAGCTATGGGCCGAGCAGCTACGCTCGGGGGACCCAGATTTCAAGCTGGGGAAGACGATCCTGCGGGTCGACCCGCGCGCCCCACAGCTGGCGCGGGATGCTTGCGACAGAGAAGACGGCGCCGCCCGCGCGACGGCGAGCGTCGCGCCGCGCGGATTCGCTTCTGCCACCTTTCTCCGCCGTTTCCGCGCGCGCAGGCACCGGCGGCCCGCGCCCCCGAGAAGGCGCGCGGGGCGGGCGGCGCCAGCCAGCCGTGGCGCGCCGCGCAGAGCTGGAGCAGCGGCTCCTGGGGCAGCGATTGGCCGAAGGGCCAGAAGCGCGAGCGCTCGCGGGGCAGCGATTGGAAGAAAAAGGACACGAGGAAGGCACGGACGCCGCCGCGCCCGGCGCATCGCTGAGCGCCGCCCTGGCAGGGCGCGCGCGAGCCCCCGCAGGGGTGGAGCCCCTTCAGCCGTCAGAACGGCTCGCGCGCAAAAGCCTGCCTCCGCCCGCGCCGGGTCGGGGCCGTGACCCGGGCGCGCCCGATAGTTCTACGCTTTGTCGCTAAAAATGGCCCCGTGCGCCGTGCGCAGGACCCCCACTCGCGTGCTGGGACATGCCGCGTGCGCTATTGCCGCGGAGGCCGCTTCGCTTTCCGCGCCGCGCTGCGGGTGCCCGGCTTGGCCGCGGCCAGCCCGGGCGGGGCGTGCGGGGGGGTTCCGCGGGGCAGCGTGCGTTCCGAGGGCGCTTTTCGCTACGCTTTGGCGCCTTGTCCACGTCCGCGGTTTGCAATCCTGTGCAATGCCTGCCGTGCCGGTGCCGCCCCCGCCGCCCGCATCTGGCGCGCGAAAGCGGGCGGCGCCTGGGGCTGCATGCGTCGTCGCCAAATCTCGCAAGGCGCGCTTTCCCGGCTCTCGGTCGCGCGCGAGCCAGCGGCGCGCGCCAGGTGATGCCGGCGCCGCCAGCGCCACCAGGGCAGCAATTCAGGAGCGATTGGTCTCGGCGTTGCAGCGACAGCGCGTGGCGCGACATCTGCGTCGCGGCCGGCGGCTGTAGCGGCGGCGACGCGGAGAAACTTATCTTTCTGGCAAGAGCGCTTGACGGCGACCCCGCGCTCTGGGGCAAGTGGCGGCCCGCCGCGGCCTCGGCTTTGCCGCCCACGGCCGCTGAGGCAGTGCGGTGGGCCGCGCAGACCGCCCCCGCCGACGTGGCGGGTTCCCGCGAGGGCGAACTCGCGGCGCTTCGCGAAAGGGATCGGGCTCTCCGGGCCAGTGGCGCCGTGGCAGAATGGTTCCGGGGGGTGGACCCCGCCACGCGGCGCGTCGCACAGCACGTGAACGGGCCTCTCTGCGCAGAGATCGCGGAGCGCATTGCCTTCTGCGACCCAGGCTGCGTGGAATTCTTCAGGACGGGGGCGCCCCTCGTCGGCGAGCTCCCGCGGTCGGGCCACGGCAGCCCAGAGGTGTTCCCTCCCCGTCTGGGCATCGCGGAGCTGCTCGGCAACGCCGAGTCGACAAATCGCGACATTTCCTGTGGCCTCCGCGACGGCGCGCACGGCGACGCCATCCTCCGCAAGACACGGGACGAGGCCGAGCCGGGGCGCATCAGTTGCCCGGTGCCGCTCCGCGACGTGCGCCTGGACGGGGCCGTCATCGCTCCGAGGTTTGCGGTTGAGCAGCTCCGTGAAGACGGGTCCTCGAAACTCCTGTTGGTCGACGACGTGACCAAGGCTAGGATTAACGAGGCGACGCGGCCTCAGGAGCGGCTCCACCACGATGCCGTGGACGCGCTTTTCGAAGCAACTCGCATCTTCCAGGAAGTTGCGGGGCGGGCACCCGCCCTCTGGAAGGCAGACATCGACGCTGCCTTTCGTCGCGTGCCCATTCGCGCTGAGCACCGCCGGTTCGCTTGGATCGTGTTCAGCGCCGCCGGGCAGGTCTGGGCGGCGCAGCACGCGGCAGCGCCCTTCGGGGCCACGTCGTCGGTGCACAGCTGGGCGCGAGTGGGTGCCTTCATCGCGGAGGCGGCGCGCGTGCTCTTGCGGATCGCCGCGCTGCGATACGTGGATGATTATTTTGGGCCGGATCACCCCGAAGTGGTGGAGCACGCAGCAGCGCAGCTGGCGGAGCTAATTCAGCTGATGCTCGGCCCAGGCGCGGTGGCGCCGGACAAGATCGCCTGGGGGTCCCCGCTGGTCATCCTCGGCCTCGAAATCAAGGCGGGGCGGCCTTGGCGCGACGCGCCGGCCGGCCGGCTGCGCGCATCGCCAGGTGCTGCCACGCGCGTTCTGCGCGCGTCCCGCACCCGCGAAGACCGCCAAGTGGCAGCGTGTCATCGGCGAGGCGCTCGCGACGCGCGCCCTCGCGCCAGGCGGCTCGCGCGTCCCCCCTAATGTGTCGGGACCTTGCGTTCGCTGCGCAGGCGCATCGTCCAAGCTGGCCGGGGGCTTGGCCTGGGCAGCGTCGCATCTCTTCCGCCGCCTGGGGCGCGCCCTCCTCAGGCGCGGCGCTGCCCCCGCGCGCCCGGGGGGGCGGGGCGCCGCGCTTCGTGCTCGCAGGCCGTTGTACGCGCAATCGCATCGCGGGGCATCGAAGGCCCATGAGCCGTTGATGCTTGCCCTGCAGTGGTGGCGCGAGGTCTTGGCCATGGACTTGCGCCAAGCGCGGCCGTGGGCCGACAAGGCGCGGCCTCGCGCAACTCTCTTCGCGGACGCGTCGGGCCAACCACCGTGCGTGGCCGCGGTGCTCGTCACCGCCACGGGCATCCGTTTCACTTCCATGGTCGCCCCGGATTCCTTGATGGCGTCGTTCCAGCGTCGCCGGGACAACCAGATCCAGGGGCTGGAGCTCCTGTCTATCGCGCTGGGCATGTGCACCTTTGCAGGCATTGCTTTCGCGTGCGACTGCCCGCGCCGGCGGGCAGGTCCGGCCCCTCGTCTTCGCTGCGCTCAGGGGAAGTGCAAGGTTGCGACTTGCATATTTACAGCGACAATACCGGCGCGGAGTCTTGCCTGCGGAAGGGCGCCGCGAAATCCTTCGACCACTCGTGCATCGTCCACTCCATGTGGAGGCGCGCGGTGGAGCTCGACGTTGACCTCGCGGTTTTCCGCGTGCCCACGGCTGAGAATCTGGCCGATTTGCCTTCTCGGCGCGCCCGTGCGCGCCGCGCGGTGCTGCGGGCTGGCCGCGGGCGCAGCGTGTCGCAAGGGGGACGACGAACTCCTGCTACGCATCGGCGCGGTGCGCACGCGCCCGTGGCTCGACGAAGAATTCTGGCACGCGGATGCCTGGGGCGCTCTCTCTGTGGCCCGCCTCTTCGGCTAAACCGCGCGCCATGTCGCGCCCGGGTGCCATCTTGTGCGTCGGGGCGTCGCGATACTTAAGTTTGGGCGCGGCAAAGCGTTCGGCGCGCCGCCGCGCTTGTCATCCTAGGGTCCCGCGTTTTGTCGCAAGCGGAGTGCACGCGGCCAGTGCCTCAGGCGCGTCGCTCGCATTGTCAGGCGTGCCGCGCGGCATCATGTCGTTATTCCTTGAATTGTCTTCCTTGCGCCCGACAGCGCCCAGGACGGCCGTCGCCTGGGCTGCTGATTTCCTGGCTGAGAACGGCTTCGTACGAGCCCGCGAGCTCGCCAGTGCAGGCGCCGCAGACCTGGAAGGTTGGCCGGTCACCGCGCAGGCCAATGTCGAAGTCCTGCACGAATTGTTCAGAGCCGCGAAGATTGCTGCGCGCCGAGGCTCGGCTGCGCGAGGGTTTTTGGCGCGCGCGGCCCCCCCCCCGCCGCGCGTGCGCCTCGCAGGCGCGCCCGTCGCCGTGGGCTCGGCAGTTGGAGGGCGCGAGCCCGCCCGCAGCCGGTCGCCGGCGAGACGCGCGGCGCCGAGCGCCCCGGGGTCACCCCCTGGGCCGCCACAGGCGCGCGTCATCGGCCCCGCGCGCTTGCGCATGCCCGCGCGCCGTGGCTCGCGAGGCGCCCGTCCCGAGCGTCCTCGACCAGCTGGGCGCGCCGGTCGCGCTGCCAATAACGCGCGGGCCCCGGGCGGCGCTCGCCGAGGCCGCTGCTCGCCTCCGCAGTCCGGCGGACGCGGCCCGCTGGCGGGAGGAGGAACGCGTTCGCGCTATGCTGCAACCATGCGCACGGTCGCTCCCAAGCGTGAGAAGCGGCCTCAAATGCTGGGAGGCCTACTGCATCAGAATGTTGAAATACCCGTGCATGCAGCTCCCGCCAGCCTGCGCGGACCTGGTCGCCTGGAGCGCCCTCTTTCGCTGCGGGGAGACGTACGCAAATTACTGCAGCTACGTTAAGATCGGCTGCCTCCTGACTGGGGTCTGCGTCGCCGTGTTCGACCGCCCCGAGGTCAGGCGTGCGCGCGCCGCCGTCCGGGCGCGGGCCGATTGGACTCCGCGCCCGCGCTTGTTCATCCGTAAGAGCGCGGTCGCCGCGCTGGTCGAGTTGGGCGCGCGCCGCCCCGAGTGGCTCCGCGCGTCGATGCTTTTCCTTTTCGCCTACACGTTCTTGTTGCGTGTTCCCAGCGAGGCGTTGCCGGCCGTGCGCGTGGCCGACGCCGGCGACGCGCCGCCCTCTCAAGCGGCGCTAGTGCTGGGCAAATCGGAGCTCACGCTGCTGCTGCGGCGGCGGAAGAACCGGCCGCAGGGCAGTCGCCTGTCGCGGAAGTGCTGGTGCTCATCGTGCCGCGCCACGTGCCCCGTGCACACCCTGGGCCCCTGGGTGGCGCGTTGCGGGCTGGGCCGCGGGCTCTTCGGAGGCATCTCGGCGGCTGCTGCGCTGCGGACCCTGCGCGAGATGCTCGCTGCCCTCGGTGCCCGGGGGGCGAGCCTGTTTCGGTTGCATGACCTCCGCAGGGGCCACGCCAAGGACCTGCAGGAGGCTGGCGCGACGCTGGCCGAGATCCTCGCGGCCGGGGAGTGGCGGTCCTGCGCTTTCATGGCGCATCTCGACCGCGACGATCTGGAAAGGGACGCGGTCGTGGAGGCGGGGCCACGCGCCCTCCGCCCGCGCCGCGGCGCGCTGCTCGCGCCAGGCGCACATGCTGGAGTCGGATTCGGACGAGGGTGCCTGCTAGGCGCCGGCGGCCAGCGCCGCCACGTTTCGCTTCTGTGCGTGGGCGGGTGCGCGCGACGGCGCCCGTGCTCTGCCCCCGCGCGTTCGGCAGCGGGTGGGCGCGCGTTGCCGGCCCGTGTCGCCTGCGTGCCGTGTGGCATTGGGTCTGCACGCAGGCGTGGCGCGAGGCCGCCCAAGCGGCGGTGCGTCGGGCCTGGGCCCGTCGCAGCCGCCCGCGGGGGGCAGCCTCGCGCCGCGCCGCTCCCACCGACGGCGGCAGCAGGCGGGGTCGAGGCCCTGCGCGCGCGGCTCGATTTGTGGTAGGCCCACGGCGGCAAGTCCGCTCGCAGACGCGGACGTTCA